CCCCTCACCCTAAAAATAGTGAAAGCTTGAAAGCCACCCAATCAGAGTGCTCTGTGTCATTTTACACAGGGTGGGAAAGTTCTTTTGAATTTTCCCACACTGTGTAAAATGACACAGAGCACTCTGATTGGCTTAAACCCACCAATCAGAGTGTTCTAAGCCTAATTGCAGGGCGGGGCAAAGCTTTATAAGCCTTGACCCGCCCTGCGGAGCTCAGTACGCGGCGTGCCCTCGAAGGGCGAACATGTATTAATTTTCTTTGCGCTCGTTTTTTTTTTTTTTTTTTTTAAAGTGCTTAATGGTATGATGGATTTTATTTGGCCTTTTGGGCTGAAGAAAGAAGATTTTAGAAAAGAAGTATTTTTAAATGGTAAGCTTCTAATTTTTACAGGTTGTTATTTTCTATTCCCCACTCATTTTAGTGAGGTGCAGGTAGGGATAGTTTCTTTTGGGTAGTGACTAGGGCTTGGGACCTCTAGCTTCAAATCTCTTGATTTCCAAAGCAGCCACTTCAGTCCCACCCACCTGCCTGGCGGGTATTTCAGGTGGCGGTCAGGTCCCCCCCCTTATTGTTTTATTAGGGCCCCCACCCACTGCGCAGGGGTGGGGGCCAGGGGGGGAGGACAGTAGGTCCCCCCTTATTGTTTTATTAGGGCCCCCACCCACCGCTCAGAGGTGGGGGCCGGGGGGGGGCAGTAGGTCCCCCCCTATCTTTATTTAGAGCCCCCACCCACCGCGCAGGGGTGGGGGCCAGGGGGAGAGGACAGTAGGTCCCCCCCTTATTGTTTTATTAGGGCCCCCACCCACCGCTCAGGGGTGGGGGCCAGGGGGGAGGACAGTAGGTCCCCCCCCTTATTGTTTTATTAGGGCCCCACCCACTGCTCAGGGGTGGGGGCCAGGGGGGGGGACAGTAGGTCCCCCCCTTATTGTTTTATTAGGGCCCCCATCCACCGCGCAGGGGTGGGGGCCGGGGGGGGGACAGTAGGTCCCACCCTATCTTTATTTAGGGCCCCCACCCACCGCTCAGGGGTGGGGGCCAGTAGGTCCCCCCCATCTTTATTTAGGGCCCCCACGGGCAGGGGGGGGTTATTAGTTTGTTTTTGTTTTTTACAGTGAGCAGCTATAAGCTGCTCACTGCTTACTACACATGCCCCTACTCACGATATAGCGAGTAGGGGCATATTATTTACTAATACTAAGTAATCTTTACTTAGTATTAGTAAAGTTGGCTGAAAGACCAATTTAGGTCTTTCAGCCTTTTAGTAGATAACTCCCTAATACCGTGAGAATTAGGGAGTTTCGAATGAAATTCCGACACAAACAAAATGTCGAATTGCGTTCTAAAACAAACGAACATACTGTTCTCATTCAGTTAGAACGCAATTCGGCAGTTTTGTGTAAAGTGACAGGAAGCATCATAGAAACACAGAGGAAAGCTAGGGATCATGGGAAAATTGCTCTGACCAGCGGAAATGAAGCACACTTGTCTCCTCCGCTGGTCAGAGCTGGTCAAGCGGAGGAATCCTCCATAAGGCAAAGAGTCCCTACTTTGTCTTATGATTTTAAAGAAAACTAAAGAAGACAGGAAGAAAAGAATAACAGATCCCGAGAGAGTGGGAGAAGAGGAAGAGACTGAGGAAAGGTAAGTTCGGCATGACAGTGCCGCTTTAATATGGATGCAAACATTTTCACAAAAATCTATGCCTCCAGGTTGGGAACCTGTTTGGCACACATTTTACACAATGTTTAGGTGGGATTTGATAACACAATATCACACAGTCTCCAAACTTTGACGCTTCAGAACAGGGAGGGATGATTCATAGAAACGTAGAAACATAGAATGTGACGTCAGATAAGAACCATTCGGCCCATCTAGTCTGCCCAAAACATGCATAGAAAACCTTCGACTGCCTATATTAGGGTTTCCTGGAAGCGTTACTGAAAAAATATGGCATCCTGGGCTTCCTGATGGTGGTGGAGGCTCTATACACCTCACCGACAGCACTGGTCCTTAACACAGGTTGTCTGTTCGACCCATTTACATTATTAAATGGCACTCGGCAGGGGTGCCCACTATACCCTTTATTGTATGTTTTAGCGCTTGAACTCTTAGCAATTAAAATCAGGAACAACACGTCTATCCATGAGGTTGTAATCATAGGAAAAGCATACAAGGCTAAACTGTTTACGGATGATCTGTTGCTCACTCTCACACAACCCCACATTTCTTTACCAAATCTTTTGGCAGAAATGACCAATTATGGGAATCATTCTTATTACAAGTTTAACAAATTGCAAAAACCCAAGCCATGGTAGTGGAAATTCCTAGATGTGTTTTGGAACAACTACAGGCAACTTTCTCCTTGAACTGGAGAAAGGACTATGTAACTTTCTTGGGACTTAAACTATCCAAAAACTGAACTGACCTACTTGCACTTAACTATGACATGTTACAACGAGAAATAATGGAAACACTACAGTCTTGTAAGGGGAAAGTTTTTTTTATGGTTAGGAAGACTGGTGGCAATAAAGATAATCCTGCTACCAAAATTCCAATGTCTTGTATGAACTTATGTTGTTAGGTGCAATAGGTCCATCTATCTTTACAATACCGGTAAACTGTCTATGTATTATATATGAAAGTATATGTTGTTATCTCAACAGTTGTATAACGTGTCTATGCAGAATGCTGGCTATGCTGTACCAACATACTGTTTTATATTTTGTATGTGAAAGAAATCCACACTATATTACGCTCAGGGGCAGACTGAGAGCCTTTGGGGCCCCCGGGCAAAATTAGATCCCAGGCCCTTTGAAGGCCAAATAAATGTGCATTAAATAAATGTTAAATATAATTCATAATACGGCATTCATTTGGATGTGTGTATTGTGAAGACCTGTGTATCAATGCATGTTTGTATTTGAGTCTGTGTGAATGCACTTGTGCATGTCTGGATGACTACATGTGCTTTTTTGTATATAGTGTCTGTGTGAATGCATATGTGACAGGTGACAGAGTGTGTGAGGGAGAAGGTGACAGGTGGAAGAGTGTGGGAGGTTGTGGCAGAGTGCGGGAGGGAGGGGTTGAGTGGTGGCAGAGTGAGGGGGAGACACAGTGAGTGGGGGTGACTGGTGACAGAGTGAGGGAGTGGGTGACTAGTGACAGAATGAGGGAGGGAAGAGATGACTAGTGGCAAAGTGAGGGAGGGAAGGGGTGACTGGTGACAGAGTGAGGGGGGGGGTGACTGTCATTAGTCACCTCATCCCTCTCTCTGTCACTAGTCACTCCCTCCCTAACTCTGTCACTCGCTCCCTCACTCTGTCACTAGTCACCCCCTCACTCTGTCACTGTCACCCCCTCCCTCCCTCTGTGACTAGTCACCCCCTCACTCTGTCACTAGTCACCCCTCCCTCACTCTCACTAATCACTCCCTGTCCCTAGTCACCCCCTTCCTCACTCTGTCACTAGTCACCCCATCCCTCTCTCTGTCACTAGTCACTCCCTCCCTAACTCTGTCACTGTGAAGGAAGGAAGGGGTGACTGGTGACAGAGTGAGGGAAGGGATGACTAGTGGCAGAGTGAGGGAAGGAAGGGATGACTGGTGACAGAGTGAGAGAGGGGGTGACTAGTGACAGAGTGAGAGAGGGGTGACTGTCACTAGTCACCCCATCCCTCACTCTGTCACTACTCCCTCCCTCCTTCTGTCACTAGTCACCCCCTCCCTCACTCTGTCACCAGTCATCCCCTCCCTCACTCTGTCACCTGTCACCCCCTCACTCTGTCACTAGTCACCCCCTCACTCTAGTGACAGAGTGAGGGACGGGGTGACTAGTGACAGAGTGAGAGAGAGGGTGACTAGTGACAGAGTGAGGAAGGGGGTGACACAGTGACAGAGTGAGGGAGGGGGTGACTAGTGACAGAGTGAAGGAGGTGGTGACTGTCAATAGTCACCCCCTTCCCTCCCTCACTCTGTCACTAGTCACCCCTCCCTCTCTCTGTCACTAGTCACATCCTCCCTCACTTTGCCACTATGCATAAATTCAAACCAACCTTCTATAGTAACTTTGTGTAACTTTGGAGGATTTTAAGGAAGGAGTTTTGATAGTTGGTGGAGATTGTAATATAGTGCTGGATTATGCTGTAGATAGCTCCTCAAAGACTAGAGAAACACAGATGAACCATAGGTCATCAGTGCTAAAAACATTACATTCCTATCAATTGATAGACTGTTGGCGTATCTTGCATCAGGGGGAGAGGGACTATTCTTTTTATTCAACACCTGCAGATATTTACTCAAGGTTAGATATGTTTTTTGTAAACCATAGATATCTACATTTAGTTAAAGGAGCAAAAATAAGGAATATTACATGGTCGGATCATGCCCCCATTTTTCTAGATATTGAGCTGCAAGGCGATATGAGGGGTAAAAACATCTGGAGACTAAACGAGTCCCTCCTGGATGACCCAAGGGTCATCAAGGATTTAACAGAAACAATGTCCCAATATTTCTTAGATAATTGTACAGATGATATCAATAATATGTGGATATGGGAGGCTCATAAGTGTGTGATCCGGGGGGTTCTAATTAAATGGGGAGCTAGATGTAAAAAAGAACATGCTGAGGAAATAGAAAAGATGCTGAAAACATTAGAGACAACAGGGTCTACCCATAAGCAAACTCCAACAGAGGAGAATTGTAAGCGCTTAATGGTAGTCAGATCAAAGCTAAGGGCATTATTGAACTACGAAGGTCAAAGAGCGGTCCAGCTGACTCAAAGTACATTGTATATTGTATACGGGGATAAAAGTGGGAAATCTTAGCTAAAACACTCAAAGCTAAATTGCAAAAAAGTATATATCTAAAATCAAAGATAAACAGGGGAAAATTTGTAATACCACTGAGGAAATAGCAAATACTTTTAGTAATTATTATAAAGACCTCTACAATTTAAACCCCCCAGAAAAGACCCCTTACAATAGAGTGCAATATCTATCCAAAAATATACCAATACAAATTTCAAAAGAAACAGCAGCGCAAATGGAGGAATTGTTCTCCCCGGAGGAACTCTCTGCGGCGATTGAGGCCATACCCCTTAATAAAATCCCTGGGCCAGATGGATTATCGGCACGCTACTTTAAACAATTCCAAAACATTCTTGTCCCACACTTTCTCAGGGCCTTCAATGGATTGTCTTCAACTACTGACATCCCACCATCATTGCTGAGTGCTGTAATTGCTGTGATATATAAAGATGGAAAAGATCCAGAATTATGCAGCAGCTATAGACCGATTTCTCTTATTAATCTTGACTTAAAAATATTTGCAAAACTTCTAGCAAATAGACTGAAGCCCCTTATGCCTGGACTGATCCATCCTGATCAAGCTGGCTTTGTCTCTGGCTGTGAAGCCAGAGACAATACTACCAAAATCTTGAATGTATTACATGGAGCTATAATAAATAAAAGCCCTACAGTTTTGTTAACAATTGATGCTGAGAAGGCCTTTGACAGGGTGGATCAGTCCTATCTGTTTGCAATGTTGGAGACATGGGGGCTTGGTCCGAGATTTCTTAATTGGATACAGATATTGTATAAAGGCCCTTCAGCCATGGTTCGGATTAATGGTCTACTTTCGAACCCTTTCAATATTAATAACGGCACTAGTCAAGGATGCCCGTTGTCCCCGCTTCTTTTTGTCTTAGCATTTGAACCTTTTTTTAGAAGCTATACGTAGAAATACAGATATTAAAGGATATAAGTATAAGGGAGGAAAGGTTAAAGTAACCGCTTTCGCGGATGATGTCTTATTCACGCTTATAGAACTTCAATATACACTTCCTTCTGTTCAGGAAGAATTGGAGAAATTCAGTACTCTATCTAATTTTAAGGTAAATACAGATAAATCTGAAATATTGGGAGTAGGGATAAGCATAGGAATTAAGGAGAAAATACAGAAGCTTTACAGGTATAAGTGGACAGACTCTAGTATAATATACTTAGGAGTACATCTGATGGCTCATTTAACCCCTTAAGGACACATTATGTGTGACATGTCATGATTCCCTTTTATTCTAGAAGTTTGGTCCTTAAGGGGTTAAAAGATTTATTTAAACTAAACTATGGAAAATTATTAAGAAAAATTAAAGAAGATTTAAAAAATTGGAACCAACCCTTCTACTCATTAATAGGGAGAGTTAACATCATAAAAATGATGATACTCCTTAAGGTACTATACTTATTCCTGACATTGCCTATCTCGCTGCCAATCTATCTTTTTGCGAAAGTACGATCTATATTGCTTTCATTTATATGGAATAATAACCATCCACGTATCGCGTACAATATATTGACTTTACCAGTTGAGAAAGGAGGCCTTGGCCTCCCACATATTTATAAATACTATGTTGCGGTACTATGTGCGGGAATTAGAAAATGGACAGCTATAGACACAAAAAAAGCCTTGATATAAATTAGAACAAAATTTTATGAAGGTTCAATTGGAGACCCTACCATGGCAGAATTGTAAATTAAATTTATTATCACCCAATTATAAATCATATAATACAGATTTGGAGATAGATGGAAGCTATCTCCGGGACTATCAGTATTTTTTTCAATTGCATCAAACTTGGAGTTCCACCATGGGATGATCCACAAAATACTGGGAACGTTAACGGGAGAAGCAGACCCGCCCGTAACAAGTTTAATAATAATAATAGACGGTACACCCACTAGATTAAGAGAGTTTCCTAGCTGCGACAATACGACAACACTTCTAGATAGAATGGGTATGGTTTATTTAAAAAAAAATTTAAACCAAAAAGTGTTACCATACAAGAGATAAAACTGAGTTTGAGTTACTCTGTGGTACCGGGATAGATAAAAAACGATATCTGTCTAGTATCTATAACCTAATTCAGAAGGGTTCTATGGATAAGATAGTACCCTCATTTCAGTTGAAATGGATGCTAGGATTGAACATCCAACTGACTGGCACTGACTGGTCATTTGTGTTCAAAATGGGAATGAAAGCCCAGGTAAGCACTGCTAGGAAAATGATTTTCTTTAAAAGAATTTCTAGATGGTATAATACCCCAGATCGACTTAAGAAATATGGTGTATCTGCATTGGATGAATGCTCGAGAAGGGAGCAAACATGGAACACATCTGGTGGGAGTGTAAACTTATTGGAAACTACTGGATCCATGTTGAGTGTCATCTATAAGATTTTACCAATGTCAGATCAATTATCCTCATCTAAGAACTTACTGGGCTGACCAGCTTCTTTCAAGGAGAACAATAAACATATATTGTTAAGTTTCTTATTGAATGAGGCAAATGCTTTGATCCCGCTGTATTGGCTTAAACCTAGCATCCCGACTGTAAAACAATGGATTATTAGAGTGGAATTAAGGGAATTAGAGGGAATTAAGGGAATTAGAAGAGATTCATTGGACTACCCAGGGAAAAAGAGATCACTATGTTAAGAAATGGGACCCTTGGATAAAGTTCTGGGCAGGACTACCATAATGAGACTATTTTATGATAAACTGACGATGAGCAAATAAAATACTAATGTAAAATAGAACATTAATGTTAGAAATAAAGGCAGAGCTATATTCTTCTTTTTTTTCTCTCTCTTTTCCTTTTTTTTTTTTTTGTTCTGTTGAGATACATATGATGATGTGGGACCTTGATAGTGCTATTTGATAATGGCGTAAAGTAGTCCCAATATATGATGATAAGTAAAAAAAATAAAAAAATTATACATAGGAAGTCTGAGCATGTAGGCGGAGCCTGAAGTTGAGGGAGGTTGTTACCCGGCCTGTAATAGACAGACCGCCCCTTCTTCTGTGCAGATACTGTCTGGTTCAGTACAGAACAATCTACTTTTAATTCAAAGGTCGTCAACACAAACTACCTTAACTCCAAACACAAACTACCTTAACTCCAAACAAGCTGGTCTTGGCCTTGTGCGGCCCATGCAAGTACTAATTTTACCTTACTCTAGTAAAGAACAGCCACCTCCCTTGAAGCTCATGGGCACTGCCGCCCCCAAGCCAGCTGCGGCTTTACTGTTCACGCCTTTTGTACAACAAAATCCAAGTTTGTAAGTTCGGGCCCATGTCGGCAGCGCTATCACTGACATAAAACATGTATTCACCCCACATTTGGCCTTTCGCTAACTAGGGTGGAATTTGCAGATCTATCTGTATTCGGCTTTCATTCGGATATTACTACTAACGCAAATTTGGTCTACTTCAATCATACATAGCATCACAGTGATACCACAATTAGGTTCGTGCATTCCACTAACTGTATTCGGCCCTCATTTGGCCATATCAATTTTATCATATGCAATTCACTTAGTCACCCTACATTTTGATGTATAATAAATGCTATGCCATATTCAGTTTTTCCTATTTGCAGCTTATTATTGTCAGCCCACTAAGCCTTGGTTATACTTGTCCGCTTTGAGCAGATCAGTATTTGTTCCTTATGTTCACCAGGCCTCTTCCAGCGCCAGTACCTATATGTATTTTATATGTCTGCTTCTCTGCTTATTCAGGCACTCATTGAGCCTAAATTGTTTAGTAAATATATGGCTAGGTATTGCAACTGACGGTATAAATTTATGTCAGGCTCAAACTTGGACCTATACATGTGGTTAGTATTTATGTCACTGCCCATCCACCCATCTATTCATCCATCCACTCACCCATCTATCCATCCATCCACCCACCCGCCCTTACTTCCATCCACCCACACTCCCACCCATCCACCCAACCATCCATCCATTCTGCCATTGATTGCTCCATCCATCCAACCATCCATCGACCCATCCTTCAATCAGTGGTACCATGTAACTCAAATGTCTCATCATTATCATCTCTAATTAACAGTCCTGCCATTATTGGCCTCTCACAGGTCAAGTCGGTTATATACATGTAATGATATGAAGCAGGTCCGCCATTTGACTTCACTATGTGAAA